TGCCTGAACCCAATATTATTGGGACTAGGGCTTTGGGGTTTTAGAGTTTATGGCTTTGGGGTTCCGGGTTCAGGGTTTTGCAAATTAACACCGGGTTGGAGGTTGTAACCTCGTTCTTAAGCCTTGAGCCCGATCATGCGTCGTAACCCAATAATATAGGTGCCTTAATAAGTACCTAAATTTGTTGATGGGTTGTTTTATTGTACTTAAAGTAGTATAGTGGGCCCCAAAACCCTAACTAAGCATCAAGGCCCCTATATTATCCCTGTTCATGTTTTTGCTCTTTGGTGAATTACACGACAGGTGTCCATGCTGTGTTTGCTGCAAGGATGATTCCTATTCCTATGGTTATCAGTTTCACCTTATGAACATGCTACTCATGAGGATCCGTGAAGATTAGTGTTTGCGTGCTCAGTCTTCCTCAAAAGTAGGCCGGGATGTAGTGCTGTCGGGCGTACTCCTCGGCTGACTGGTTCATAGCTTGCGCTCTATCAGGGGTCAGAATGACTGCTAATAGTGTCCCGCTACAGTTGTATAGTAAAGCATTCTAGTTGTGAAGGGCGTTGTAGTAGAGCTGTTTGTAATCCGAAGCCCTGAACCCTAAACCCTAAACTTTTTGTTTTGCTTACGGCTCGTGGAAGCAAGCGCCACCTGCGAAGGCTCCCGAAACCCCTTCACCAAGGAATATGCCTTAAATTCTAACAAGGATTTCCCTGATATAATTCCTGCATTGCCTTAAGGGCCCTAAACTATGGGAATTACGGTATATTCCTTATTCTGGGTAATGCAGGGATTTATATCATCAACCGTAGTTATTTCTTCAATGGTTCCCCTCAAGGATCTCCCTACAGTTTACGAAGAAGCATAGGGGCCTAAGTAATTTACCAAGATTATCTTTAGGGTTCCCTCTTACAGTTGCACTATAGAGGAGTCAGAACCCTATTCTAGTTAATTATTGAGGTCCCTACATTATTGATGCTTTAAACCAAATGGTTTTCCAGCCTTTCTGGGCACCCCCTCGGAGGCCCTAAACCCTAACCCCTAAACCCTAAACCGGAGGCTGGTGGTTCGAGGTCAGGACCAACCTCTCCCTATCTGCAGGGAGAAGAAGCTCTGCGACGTCACAGGTGGTTAGTGCTTGGGGAGTCTTAGCAACTCCTATAGGGGCCGCAATCATTACCACTATTTTGGGGGTTTCTTGGTGTAATTTTGGTATAGTATACCCCCAAAACCCTAATCTAGCTGTAAAGGCCTCTGTATTAATTCTTTAAGGCCTCCCTTCAGGATCTTTGGGGGTTACAGAAACGGCTTCCCTCAAGGGTCAGGAGACGCAGGGTTTACGAAGCAGGGCCCCTCCCTCCTTTCGTTTAATGTATGTCTAAGCGCAATTAAAATTCATATAGAGAGAGAGAACGAGAGACAGAACGGAAGAGAGAGAGAGAGAGAGAGTGACAGAGAGCTTGGACGCATGCAGTGTTCTTGTTGCAAGTGCAAAGCTGTAGTGAGCAGCACGGAAAGACTTTTGTGCGAGACCCGCATCAAACCCCCTGTTCGCAGGAAGCGGTGCGAGGGAAATCAGCAACGAGACCGGAAAATGGGCTGGAGGGCCAAACGAACCCAAAGAGCCAAAAACAACAGCAAAAGAACCAAAAGCAGCAAAAGAGCCCAAAAGCGATAGAGCCAGAAAAAGCAATTCTCCGAGACTCTTGGAAATTGTAGACCATGATGGGATGTTGCCGCCGCTTAAAATTGTTGTTGTTGGTTCTCTTGGTGTTGCTTGTTCTTTTAATGGTTTCGCTCTTGTGCTGTTGTTCGCTCTTGTGGTAGTTGTTGGCTCTTTTGTCAATTTTGTTAAGTTGAGTCTTTTGGAGTCTGAGCTGTAGCGAAATTCGTTTTTGCAGGAGTATCTTACATGAAGTATTGCGTAAACGATGTTAAAGCTAGCGCTAAAACTCCCGGAAAAGTGCACTTGCGGGGACCCCCATTCTGTCCTTGTCCAACTGCTACTGCTGCTGCTACTGCTNNTACTACTACTACTACTACTGCTTGCTTTTGCTTGCACTTGCAGCTGCTGTCGGAGACGCACCAACGAAGCATACTTTGCCGACCGATTCCTAGCCACTATAGCCCCAAATCTTAGCCTTAGACCCTAAAATTCCCTAAACCCCGAACCCTCAAAACCCCAAAACCCCAAACCCTAAAAACCCTAAAACCCCCCAAACCCTAAACCATGCCTCGCACAACAGCAGGCGGTGAGACGGATCTCCTGGGTGTGACTCCAGGCCGCACACAGCAACCCTTGGCAGGTCTTCCATGCATTGTCTTGTGGCATACCTTGCAAGGTCACTCGTGCTTTCTTTGCCTTGCTCTTAGGGTTTAGGGTTTAGGGGTTTAGGGGTTCAAAAGGTTAAAGGGTTTAGGGATTTAGGGTTCAGGGCTCCTTCACTCTTCGCCAAGCCGCCACTTCCACCTCTCACCAGTGGTTTGCAAACGGGTGCAGTCTCCTGACTCCCCCTCCTTGCGTAGATGTGTGATTCGGGTCATTACCAGGCCATCGAAGCTGGGTTTTAGAGTACCATACTTGAATACTTTTTTTTTGGACCTGTTCCTTAAAGGAACCATTATAAATTAAAAGTCTATACGTTTTTCTCCCTGGTTACTTCAAAATCCAGGAAGCAGTCTTCCAACATCACACTTCCATCACAGAGTTCGCATGGAAGCTGTGACGGACCGGCATGAGAGTTCGTCTGTAAGCCGACAGCATCCGCTGAAGCTAACCGACATGTTGAGGGTTGGCTGGGTAGCAATAGCATGGTGTGCCTCCAAACCTTACTCGAATTATTCTGGCCTGTGTCCTTGAATGAGTCCTGAAACGACATGCGTGTAAGCATGCTCCATTGAGGGACGGGTCTCCTTACGAAGCGCATTCGGTGAGGATTATTTGACGATTGCTGACAGTCAGAGGGCTGTAGATTTGCTTTCTGTTTCATCGAATGCTGCAACGGGGAATGTTGCAAGTTTTTATATTTGCGGAATGAGGGGGTCGTGACAGATAGGAAGCCTGAGACATGCTGAACTGGAGCTCGATGGCCAACCAAGCCTTCAGCACAAGCTTGCATAGTTTTGGGACAATGGCCGAAAGAGTCTTTTGGTTTCAAGTCGGTAAGTCTGAGACCCTAAACCCTCAACCCTAACCCTAAGACAGTATCCCAGAATGCACAATGCGGACCCCTACAATTTAATCGAAAATCCCAAACCCCCAAACCCTAAATTCAACCGCGCATCATCCCGAAACCCTGAAACCCTAAACCCCCAAACCCAAACCCCCAAAACCCTAAACCCTTAAAACACAAAAGCACGCCTAAACCCTTTTAAAACACCCTCAAAGGCCCCCGGGATCCCCCATCATCCGAGGATCTCAAGAGCTTACATCTTGGGACCTGGAACTGACAAGTGCGAAGCTAGGCCGGGTTCTTGTTAAGGGATTTAGTTTAAGTTACCATAATAGGGTTCTAATTAAGGGTTTAGGGTTTCATTTAGGGTTTAGGGTTTAGGCTTTCGAGTTACCATAATACTTGTAGGGATCTATAGTAAATAATATGGTTTTCTTGTTATGGTAACTTAAGTTAAATCCCCTAACAAGAACCCAGTAGGCCTCATACCGGAGGCCCTTTACAAGGGTTCCATTGAGGGTTTAGGGTTTAGGGTGGTTCCCACTAAGGGTTTAGAGTTTAGGGTCCTTTATAAGGGTTCCCTTAAGGGTTTAGGGTTTAGGGCGCTTTGTAAGGGTTCCATTGAGGGTTTAGGGTTTAGGGTCCTTTACAACGGTTCCCTTACGCATTACTACCCGGGCTCTGTACTGTTGGGGCGTTTATAATTAGAATGGGATTCTAGGGGTATGGTGTAATATGAAAAATAGAAGATGGAACTCCAGGAGGTTGCGAAGTTAGGCTTAAACTCGGCTCTTTGCATAATAAGGTGAAAGCAATTTCCATAAGGGTTTTATAGGGTTCGATAACTAGGCTGTTCAGTCGTATACATTTTTTTCTCTTTTTGTTTGGGTTCCTGATAATGACTGACCCCAAGTTGCTGAAGAGCCTAGGAAACAGCCCAGTTCGAGCACTATCCACTCTCCGCCTATGCGTCTGAGTCTGTGGATGCGGAGGGGATCGAAAACTAGCAGAAGAGGGGTAAGCTTTCACTTTTTTTGGTGTCTATTCTCCCTACAAAAAAACCCTAAGCCCCAAACCCTAAACCCTAAATCCCAAAAATCCCAAAGGTTAGCTTAGAAGTCCCCCCAAAGAAACCTTAAACCCTAAAATCCCAAAGGTTACCTTAGAAGTCCCCCCAAAGATACTGGGACGGGAGCAAGTAAGGACATGGAGCTCATTGAGGGCCAGCGCGTAAAAGGCTGCTCTGGGCGACCGGGATCTTCTTCGGGAGTTTAGGGTTTAGGGTTTAGGGTTTTAGGGTTTAGGGTCAGGCTCAGGGTTTAGGGAGTTTAGGGAGTTTAGGGTTTAAGGTTTAAGGTTTAGGGATAGGGTTTAGGGTTTAGAGTTTAGGGTTAGGGCTCAGGGTTTAAGGTTTAAGGTTTAGGGTTTAGGGTTTAGGGTTAGGGCTCAGGGTTTAGGGTTTAGGGATAGGGTTTAGGGTTTAGGGTTTCGGGTTTATCTATAAGAGTCTTTAGTAAACAAGATGGATTAGTTGCCAGAATGCGGATCTAGAATAATCTAGAAGAGTCTATAGTAAGCAAGATGGATGGACTCCTCATTCTGGTAGCTGAAAATAACCCTAAACCCTAAACCCTAAAACCCGAAACCTAAAACCCTAAACCCTAAAACCTTAACCCTGAAACCCTAAACCCCAGCCCTAAAGCCCTAAACTTCCCTAAACCCTAAACTCTCTAAACCCTAAACGTTTAACAAATACCCAGGAGGCGACCTGACGGAGTTCTCTTCGGCGGACTTGGCTACCCGAGCCTTGACGGTGGCCGACTTCTCATGCGGGTTCCTAGGTAGGCCCTTGGGCCATTCTATATTTTCTCTTTTTAGGGCTTAAGAGGAGGGACATTATATATTTTCTCTTTTTGGGGCTTAAGAGGATCTTACTTGGGTAATGCAGGATTTATATCATCAATCATACTTTGGGGACCTTAAGAATGGATCTTACTTACGAATATTTTTTCGGAGGCTTTCTGGGGGTCAACCTAGGTTCTCATCCACAATACCAGCTACGCTTTCGGAATCGGCATTGGCTCCGCGGACGCCACGGTGACGAAAGATCCAGAGCATGATCTTCATTTCTTGGGGCTCTACCACGGCGGTCACAGCACAAATGTCTGCGCCTATGCAAGAAGAACTCACTCATGCGGAGGCACTCGTTTAGGGTTGAGGGTTAGGTTTAGGGTTAAGGATTTAGGGTTTCACAAATGTCTTCGCTTATGCAAGAAGAACTCACTCATCCGGAGGTACTGGTGATTGGCGCGCCTCTACGAAGCTGGCAGTGCTTCTGGACCTTGAAAATGGAACCATGCAGTGCTACCAAGACCTGCAGCCCTTTGGCAACAAGGTTACGATCAAGCGCGACAAATACTGGCCTATGGTGGTCTTGTGGAATGAAGTAGATGATGTGAGCATTGCCGTAGATTACTTGTAACGGACTTCAAAATCCTTGCGCCCGAGCCGCTGATGTCGTAAAAGATGCAGTGAGACTGCAGATTCCACAAGAGCATCCCCGTATAGTCCCCCATAGAGTGATAGTAGCATATACCCACACCCATGTTCGACTGTTCATGATAGAAATCCAACATTACCTTAAGGACCTATGGGTAATGCAGGATTTATATCATCAACCGTAGTACGATATACCATGCCTGGTCAGCCTCAGCTTGCTAACATCGGGGGGAGTCTTCCAAAGATGGCGCAGACTACTTCACGGGCCAGGGGACCTAGGAACTAGCGAGGCTGACTAAAAAAGCAATAATGGATGTAAGTACGTAAAGCCTTAGTGAGGACACTTATACCCTTACCTCATAAGTCCCCTACATCGCATAGATCGCCGATGGAACCCTTATAGAAACCCGAGCGACCCTTCCAGAAGCCCCACGAACCCGTATAGAAACCCTACGAACCCCGTTCGTGGACATGAAACCGAGTCACGGTCTTGGCTGCCAGATCGTGGTGCCAATGATCCCGCTCCTCCCTTGTAGAAACCCGGTGAACCCGAAAAGAAACCCGATGAACCCTTATAGCAACCCGATAAGCCCGAAAAGAAACCCAAAGAACCCTTATAGAGAGCCTGTGAACCCTTGTAGAAACCCTAAGAACCCTTTTAGAAAGCCGATGAAGCTTTTCCAGGCCTCACTTACGCTCCCTGGCGCGAAGTTTTGGGGTTTAGGGTTTAGGGATTTTGGGGTTTAGGGTTTTGGGTTTGGGGTTTAGGGTTTTGGGTTTAGGCACAGGAAAGTCACGACACGAATATGGGCAGTTCTCTAAAGTAGGGTCCCTTTTGGGGGGTCCTTGTTTATAAGGGTGCCGTACTATATTGGGGACGTAAAAAGGGACCCTAATGTAGAAAACTACCCATATAGGTTTTAGGGCTTAGGGTTTGGGGCTGAATGGTTAGTAAGAGTATTCCCTTGCTAGTCCCCCAAGTACAGCTCTAGCACAGTATGCCAGATAACCCCTTCTCGAAATATTCAGGCCCCCATGTTCCCACATTCTTGAAGCCTCTTTAGCTTCAGAAAGCCGACCCTCTAATTCCCTGAACCCTACACCCCTAAACTTTTGAAATCTAAACCCTCACGCCCGAAACCCCTAAAGCCTAAAGCAGCGCAGGCGTCAAGAAGTGGCTTCTGCGAATGGAAGAGGAAGGCCCATTTCTTCCTCCAAGCCTCCGAACCTTGCAATAGGGCCTTCATCACTACCTATACTGTTTGGTGGGGTTCCGTATCATCATTATAGCATAGTATACCCCCAAACCCTATTCAAGTTTTGGAGGCCCCTGCATTATCGGCGCCTTCATCATGAGAATGCGGGTCCTTTAAAGGCTACAACAAGGGCCCATGACAGTTCGAACAGGCTTTTGGTGAACATGACACTTCTTTGCGCCTATGAACTCAGCAGCTAAGTTAGGCCACTCCTTTAGATGAGCGCGAACTCGAGACTCCAAAAACCCCTTGATGAGGCAAAAGGGCTTCGGGCTTACTACCCAGAGAACCCAAAACCCCTTAATTAAGAAATATACCTTAAATCATAATATCAAGGTCCCTATGATTAAAGGTATATTCCTTACTTAAGGGGTATTGGGTTCTCTGGGTAAGCTTATCTATAACCTTAAACTGCAGGTTTAATTTGGGGTTTATGAGACTTGAGTATTTCCTTAACTGGGTCCCCACCCGTAGAACAGGTCAAGGGCGGAATCCAGTGTAGCATAGGAGACGGAATGATCAGAAATATTGCAGCCATATGTAACTATGCCAATATGTGCCCCAACACCCTATTCCAACCACGACGGCCCCGATCGTGGGTTCTTCGTGTCGGAGGCCTGTTGAAACTTTACGACGGGTTTAGGGTTTGAGGAGCCCTTGACCCCCAACAAAGCATAGACCTTCAAACCTCATATGGGTGGTTCTCTAAATTAGGCCCGAAATCTCCTTTAGGGCCTTTAGGGGTTTTAGGGGGGGGAGGGGTCGAGTGTGCGCTCCTATTTGTTTCGAGTGTGCGCTCCATTTGTTTCGAGTGTGCGCTCTCCTGTGCGTTTCGAAGCAGAATTGCTACGCTGCACGAACAATCTAGCGGTCCTTTCATTCCGGGTATGTATGTACACATATATACATATATCTTTGTAATATATATATATATAGATGTCTATATGTACACGCGCGACTCACGGGTCCTCTCTCTTCTGCTCCTCCCTCCCCTGCTTAATCTGCCCACGCACGACAAACCCTGAGCCCTAAACCCCGAATGCAGGGGCCTGGATAATTACTTGCAGTATTTTGGGGGTTCCTCCTTATAATTCTAGTATAATGGATCCCAGAGCTTCATTTTCATATTAAGGCCCCTCTATTACCCATAAGGGTCCACGCGCCCAAAGATGGCCTCACAGTAGCCCAGCCATGGACGTGGTTTGGGGGTTTTGTATTAGGGGGAGGGGATTCATTAGAACCGCGGATGAATTCCAAGAGATCATATCTCTGGAGCCAGTGAAAAGGGTCTAGGCTTTGGGGACAGATTCCAAACAGGTACCAATATTGTCGGTTCCATATTCCTTACATAATTCTAGTACAGGGTACCTGACATGCACCTTAAGGATATATTGGTAATGATTGAGGCCCCTATAGTATAGGCATATATGCATGGGCATATGGGCATTGATCTGAAGGTCCTTTTGGGAAATTATTTCTTTATAGAGGCTTATGTAGGGGAAGTTGTTTTCATAAGGGCCCTTTTGGGACCAAGAATATTGATCAACTACCATATCTTAACAGCTATTTCCGCTGGGAGGAATAGTCGAAGAAGTAGAAGGAGATGCAGCAGCAACAGTAGCTGGCAGTAATATCAGTGCGGCAATAGTAGCAGCGAGGGCACAAGCAGTGATGTGAAAAGCGATTCCATCTTCTTTCTCTAGGTACCCCAGTAGGACCCCTTGTTGCTTTTCATCTTGATTGAAACCGAACACTAGGAAAGATTCCCATGATGATTCAGGAGTTGCTCGGGAGCCTAGCTGTTCCGTGTGCATTCTAGTGATCTCAATGACCGCCATGGCGAACGACGACGCGGATCCGCCGGAGAGACGGATAAACCCTTATGACAAGGCACTGGGACATACTACGGTGGACAAGGTTTAGGGTTTTGGGTTTAGGGTTGGATAAACTCGTACGACAAGCCACTGGGACCTACTACGGTGGACATTAAAAGTCCTGCACGACCCTAAGTATACGATATATAGGGGATTATAGTACTATAGTATAGTAAGGCCATGCAGGATTTTGCAGCATCACCTGTATGGCCTCGCGGCTGGGGATTTGGGTTTCGGGATTCTAGGGTTCAACTAGGATTTTGGGTTTAGGGTTTCTAGGTCTTGGGGGTTTAAGCTTCAGGTAGGGTTTAGGGTCTAAGGAAGTTTCAGGTGGATACCTTCCCCCATGTAAGCCTTACATGGCTCTTATACGGTCCTTATGTTGCCATACAGGCCTTACGTGAGGGTACTCAACGGGTCACTACCCACCTGAAAAACCTGTTGAACTATGAGCTATAGGGCTTAGAGTTTTGGAGGTTTAGGGTTGGGGTTGAGGATGTTACCTGAATCAGGGAGGATCAAATGGGCAAGAACATAGAAAGTGAAATGGAAACTGGGGTTGTTCGGGGGTCAGAATGATATTGATCTTTTGACAAGCCACGGAGACCTACCATAAGGGCATTGTCCTAAATTAGTGTCAGTTGTAGGGGCTTAGGGTTTAGGATTTAGCGTTCAACTAGTAACCACCTATAACTGGACTTGTAACCCTATTTATACCCGCCTTAATGGACTTATAGGGGCAGCCCGGCTACCCCAGTTATAAGTAGGGTTATAAGCCCAGTTATAAGTAATTACTAAATTCCATGGGCCTCCATAAGGAGGCCGCTGACGAGCCTAGGGATGTTAGGGGGGTCCCAGGGGATGATCAAATCACGAATGGGAATGACATAAGCTATAATCTAACTCCTGGTATCCCCTTCAGTAAGCCCTATATTATACTCTCCTATGTAGTCCCTTGTATAAGCTTCTTACAGGAGTTTGGACTGTAGCTCAGAAATGGATTATTGCACCCTATATATGGTAGGTTATCAAATTCACGGCCGCTGTTTGGTGGTACCTTTGACAACCTCCCAGCTGACAGTGACTGAGAGACTCTACTCAGGAGTTCACCTGCCAGTTCCCCCATGTTGACCTTAGCCGCAATAGCCCCCCAAACCCTAAACCCTGAAC